GAAAAGTGCTGATCATCACACTGACGGCCAAAAGAACAAATGTTATGTCCTGGAGATGATGCAGCCAGACAGCTCTCTGGAGGCAAAGGTGATGAAGCTTTGCCTCACATAGTTTGGGCATGTTGCTAGAAGGGGCTGTTCTTAGAAAACTGCATGATGCTAAGAAAGACAGAGGGTCTCAAAAGGAGAGGAAGACCCTCAACCAGGTGGACTGACATGGTGACTGCTGCCTTGGGCTCTAATGCATCAGGCAGTGTGTGGACGGGACAGGACATGGTTCAGATCTGGTGTTGAGAGGGTTGCTGAGTCGTACTCAACTGCACTTAACAATTACTATTTCTATATTCTTACTCAGCAAGAACCCAACTTTCAGGAATGCACTGCTGGAGACTTTTGCGAGTGACATTTCAGGAAGACTAAGTTACAGTGGAACCAATTCCTGGCCGAACCTTCAGCAGGTTAAGGGGGAGAGAGGGCTTCGTTCTGAGGAGCCACGTTGGATCTGAACATCCAGAGGCCTCACCGTGGGGTCACTAGAACAATCCTCAGTGGACTAAGCCACCAGAGCTCCAAAACAGAAACACGGGGTATAACATCTCCAGCAGCTTCCGACCACATTTCCACCACTGCAAGTGTGTATCAAGTCTCACGCAGTATAAAAGCTTTTGTGTTAGAGGCAAAAAAACCCAACAGAAAACAAGCAAGCTCAAAATCACATACTTGGTAAGTTATGTTCCTCTATATTAAACTGCATAAAACACCAAACTCTTAGTTGAGTCTGAATGGATTTGCAGCAGGCTCTCCTTGGGGCTCGAGGGTGTAAATTGCATGGATGCGACGTCCTGAGGAGTCACTAGTGGATTTGAACTCCCGGTGAGGTGCCCCTGCCTCTGGGATAGCAACAGTTAGCTCCAGATGGGGCCACCAGAGCTCCCTATAAGAGACACTAGATAATGTTTGCTGTTCTATCACCAATTTGGAACAGACTCATAGGTGACCCTCCAGTTTTCAGCAGCTGTAAATCACATGGGAGAAGACTGTTAATCCTGCTCTCCTGCAGAGAATCCTACTGGATTCGAACTGCCTACCTTTAGGGAGGCAGCACAACTCTTTACCAGTAAGCCCACAAAAACTCCCTGGGTAATATTAGATGCTAGTTAAAGTAACACTGCATTTGCAACAGTTTCCTTGGGAAACATTCTGTATTTTGAAGAAAACAAAGGTCATTACAAAAACAGAGGAGAAAGGGAAAATCTAAATGATGTCAGAAGAGACTCTAAAGATTGCACTGGCTTATCAAAAAGCCAAATCTAAAGGAAAACATGTCAAAGTGAAGAAACTGAACAATTTCAAATGGCAGCTTAGGAAGACAAAGCTAAGTATTAAGATTGTGCAGAAAGCTAGAATTGGAGAATAAAAAGGGAAGAACTCGCTCTGCATTTCTCAAGCTGAAATAAGTGGAAAACAATTTTGAGCCTCTTGTCACAATATTAAAAGATGCAATACTGATAAACTCAGAAAGCATCAAAAGGTGGAATACACAGAATCACTGTACCAGAAAGATTGATTTACACTGAAAAATTTCAGTAAGTACCATCTGAACACGAACCAATGATAATGAAGGAGAGAGCACGGGCAAAAAATAAGGCCCCAGGAATCAATGGAATACCAATTGGCTTGTTTCTGTTTCTACAGCCTTGGATGCACTCACCAGTCTATGCCAGGAAATCTAGAGTTTAGCTGTCTGGTGAATGGATTGTAAGATGTCCATATTTGTTCCCATTCCCAAGAAAGGAGATCTAACTGACTGGAAATTATCAAACAGTGTCCACTTGCTGTACAGAGGTAACTCATGGTTGCTGTGAAGCCTAACACTGTGACACTGATGAGTCAAACGTGAGAATGGTGACGCATGGTGGACAGTGTTTGGTGAAGATCCCCGATTAAAACAAGCTTGGAAAAAGGAGTGGCATCCACTTCCATAATAGCTTGCCTCTGGAAACCCTGTGAACTTGGAAAAAGGACGAAAGTTATACAGTAGGTGTCCAGGACTTTCCATTCATAGGGTCACTATGAGTCGCCTGCAACTTGACGGCACTTAACATCACTGATATCATATGCATGCAAAATACTGCTGAAGATCATTCAAAAACAGCTGAGACAGCACATAGATAAAGAACTGCCAGAAGTTCAAGGATTCAGAAGAGGCTGTGGCACCAGGTTTATAACTGCTGGTGTCAGATGGATTCTGGCTGAAAGTAAGGAATACCACAATGTCCATTTGTGTTTTATCGATTATGCAAAGGCGTTTGACTGTGTTGATCATGACAAGTTGTGGCTGACATTAAAAATGGGAATCCCAGAATGCTTGATAGTGCTCATATGGAACCTATATCTGGATCAGGAGGATGTAGTGCAAATGGAGTAGGGGAGCACTGCATGCTTTGGAATTGAAAAGGGAGTACGTAAGGGTTATATTCTCTCCATACCTATTCAATCTATTTGCTGAGCAAATTATCCGAGAAGCTGGACTCTATGAGGAAGAGTGTGGCATCAGGTTTGGAGGGAGTCTCAGCAATAACCTGCATTATGAAGATGACACAACCTTCCTTGCTGAAGTTAGAAGGGCTTAAAGCACCTGCTGCAAAAGATCAAGGAATGCAGCCTTTGGTATAGATTTCATCTCAATGTCAGGAAAACAAAGATTCTTACCAATGGACCAATGTTGTTATGTGCCATCGAGTTGCTTGCTACTCATAGCGACCCTATGTACAAGAGCTCTAAACTCCATTCTATTCTGTGCCAACTTAGCCATCTCAAACACACTCATTCCCACCACTCCAGTCACAGAATCGATCCATCTCATCGAAGGTCTTCCTCTCCTGTGCTGTCCATCCACTCTGCCAAATATGATGTCCCTCTCCAAGGACCAGTCCCTCCTTGCAACATGCCCAAGGTATGTCAGATGAAGCTTCAGAATCCTTGACTCCAAGGAGCATCCCAGCTTCACCTTCTCCAGGATAAACCTGTTTGTTCTCCTAGCAGTCCATGGTATATTCAACACTCTTCTCCAGCACCACAGCTCAAAGGCATCAATTCTCTATCATCCCTATTCAATGTCCAACTCTCTGATGCATAGCACATAATTGCGAAGACTATAGCCCAGATCAGGCACACCTTAGTCTCCAGCCTGACGTCACTGTTCTTCAGTACTCTTGAGGGGTCCCTCACAGCCAACTTTCCCAATGCAATTCGTCTCTTGATTTCCTGGCTGCTGTAACCAAGCGTGTTGACTGTAGAGCCAAGTAAACGAAAAATACGCTCAATCTCTTCACCATTCATACTGATGCTGCCAATTGTACCAGTGGTAAGAATCTTTGTTTTCTTGATGTTGAGCTTCAATCCATACAGGAGGCTGCAATCCTTGGACGGAGAGGAGATTGAAACTGTCAAAAGCTTCATCTTGCTTGGATCCACAATTAACACCCTTGGGGTATGAGCAGTTAGGAAATAAGGGGACGCATTGCACTGGGAACATTTATTTAGGGACCTATCCAATTTACTGAGGAGTAGTGATGTCAGTTTAAGGACCAAGGTGTGTTTGATTCAGGCCATAGTCTTTCCAATTACTAGCTATGTGTCTGAGACCTGGAAAATGAATAAGGATTAACAAAGAATTGACACTTTTGAGCTGTGGTGTTGGAGAAGATTACTGAACACCCCATGGATGGCCAAGAAAATGAACAGAGATGTCGTGGAGATGGTGCTCTTTGGAAGGAGGAATGATGAGGCTTCACCTCACATACTTTGGATATGTTGCTAGACAATGCAATTCCCTGGAGAGGGACATGATGTTGGGGAGCGTGGAGGGTTGGCAAAGGAGAGTAAGACCCTCAACCAGATGAACTGATACGATTTGAGTGCTGCAATGGGCTCTTGTGTGGCAGGAAGTGTGAGGATGGCACAGGACAGGACTGGATTCAGATCTCTTTTTCATAAGGTCGATTCGACAGCACCTAACAACAACAACAACAACATTTAGCTGAGCTGATGCCCTTGAATTGTGGTATTAGTGAAGAGTACTTCATACCCTCTTGACTACCAAAAGAACAAGTCTTTCTTGGCCAAAGCGCAACCAGGGTGCTCCTTAGAAGCAAAGAGGTTAACTTCATGTCTCACGTACTTTGGGCATGCTGTCAGGAGGGAATGGTCTGTAGAAAAGGACATCAGGCAGGGAAAAGCAGAGGGTTATTGAAAGGAAGGAAGACCTTCAAAGAGAGAGACCGACACAAAGACTAACTGGCCAATCTGTTGTTCCTATGAGTGGTGGTTGACTGAACAGTGCCTAACAACTCCCTGGGGAAAAATACAACCAACATTTGTAATACCTGCTTTCATGAATCAATTTAAGAAATTAAACTACTCACCTCAGCACTGTTAAGAGCCAGCTATGTGTGTTTAATTTTATAAACTACAGAACAGGTTCAAAGATGGGCCTGCTCTGGTTCATTCTAGAACTACTATCGACCTGATTGCAACAGTCACACAGCACACCTGTATTAAGGAAAGGCCATAATGCTACCTGACTCCAACAGTCATACGGCACACCTATGATTAAGGAAAGGTCATGTTGCATAGATTTTCTAGAGTAATTCATCCAATGAATGTATAAAGAGCAAAAAAGCTATAAAAAAGTATACATTTATAATAAAAATTTACAAATGCACACAGAACTGTTGAAGCAAATTTCCCTCTAAATGAGAGAATTACAAACTGCAAATGTGATTCATCTGTGATGTAGAAGGAAAACACACTCAACGTGAAGTACGGCAACTTCTGACATTTACATTACCCTCCAAGTTGATCACTATGAACACTATCAACATTTTCCTTTCTATTTATCCTCAAGAGACTGAGGTATTACAAAGTGAAAGAATTTGTCACAAAACTTCTTGTAATCATTTGTAGAGAGTGCAGAATTTGTTCCTTGAGTACAAGGGTCAGAACCGATCTGCTGCTCTGCTGGCCACAGCACGAATATTCCCATAAACATTTGATGGAGGATTTCCTGCAGAACAACAAAAAAAAAACCCACAAAAATATGAGAGAGAGAAAAGGTAATGTACATATATACACACATATAGATACATTCAAAATATAGGTCTATTATGAAAAATAATGGAATTTTTTCCGTCCACTGGGTCTATTTGAAGTTACAAAACCCCCTTGAAGAAAATCATACTCAAATATTCTCTTTAAAAAAAAATGACTTGTCACAAAAGCCAAAGGCTTTAAAAAGAACTCAAGAAGCTAGGCACTAAAGAATTACCAGTTTCTGAATAAGTCACCACTACCCTGGAACTCTGACTAGAGGCAGGGAGTTTGTTGCATGTCAGTGGAAATGGAAAAACATGCATGTTGACTAAAGTCGTTGAGTAACACCTGTTAGACCTAAAACATGCTCCCTGTTACTAAGGAATGCACCTCGTCAGAGAAAGCAACAAAAAATCAAGACTATAATCCCATAAACCCTTCTTCTCTAGCAGTATTTCTTTTTCCTTTCTTGTCAAACCCAAGGTCTTCTACTTACTATTACCTTTAGCCTAAAATGAGCTGCACATGCAGATTAAGTTAAAATTTTCTATCCTGCTCATTCCAGAGAAAATGTCAAAGAAATAAACAGTAATTACCCAGAATGAGGTTGCAAATGGCAGTTCTTGCCATCTTGATGTTTTGAAATGAACCAAGAATATGAACTTTCCTGAAAGCAACAAAGTGAAAGATACAGTTAGCAACAAAAAGCATTTTCCTAACTGAATCCTGTAAGGAAAAAACACTCTGGAAATCATGATAAACCTGATCAGTGTATGAGCTGATCCTGGGTTTTGAGTTAGTTCCTGAGACTAAATCTTTATGGGAACAAACTATCTTATCTTTCCCCCACAAGGTAGCTCAAACCTGTAACTTTTAAGTTAGTAACCAAATGCTTAACCTATCATCTCACTACCCTTCGTACTTACTACTGTCCTCAAGAGTAAAGGCCTGATAAATACTGTGTGGTGCAAAGAGGTAAGTGGTAGAGGACTATCTGAAGCTTGTAGCTTTGGGAGACAGGCCTGACAACTTAATTCTGAAATGGCTAAGCCTTCAAAACCCTATGGATCCAACAACCACCACCTGTAGACTGGGGACTATATTTTTATTTTTCTTTATGCTCATTTGCATTTTCTAAATGTTAACAATAAAGATGTATTTCAGATGTAGGAAAAAATATAACCCTTACACACTGCTGTGGAATTTAAAATGGCGTAGGTTTGGTGGAAACAGTTTGGTGGTTTCTCAAAAAGTTAAATGTTAAATTTCTACAATTGTTGTTGTTGTTAAGTGTTGTCGAGTATGACTTATAGCAATACTATGAGCAGCAGATCTCAATCCCATCTTATCCTGTGCCGTCTTCATGCTTACTGACACACCAAGAGCCCAGTCACTGTGTCAGTTCACCTGGTTGAGGGTCTTCCTCTCCTTTACCCTCCACCCTTCCCAGCATCATTTCCCTCTCTAAGAAATAGCTCCTTCTAGCAACATGCCTGAAGTATAAGGTGAAGCCTCATCCTTCCTGCCTCCAAGAAGCACTCCGGCTGCACATTCTCCAACACATACTTGTTTGTTCTTCTGGCCGTCCATGGGGATATTCAGTTCTCTTCTCCGACACCACAACTCAAAAGCGTCATTCTTCCCTTATCTCTATTCACTGTCCAGCTCTCAGATACATAGCAAGTGATCAGAAGGACCATGGCCTGAATCAGATGCACCTTAGTCCTCAGACAGACATCATTATTCCTCAATGATTTGGATAGGTCCCTAATTGCAGACTTTCCCAGTGCAGTATGTCCCCTGATTGCCTGACTGCTGGTCCCGAGGGTGTTAATTGTGGATCCAAGCAGGATGTAACTGTTGACAGTTTCAGTCTCCTCGCCATCCATCATTATGCTGTCTATTGGCCCAGTGGTAAGCGTCTTTGTTTTCTTGACAGTGGGATGCAATCCAAACTGAAGGCTGCTTTCCTTGATCCTCTGCAACAAGTGCTTCAAGTCTTCTTCACTTTCAGCAAGGAAGGTTGTGTCATCTGCATTACACAGGTTATTGACGAGTCTCTCTTCAATCCTGATGCCACATTTCTCTTCACCAAGTCCAGCTTCTGGAATAATCTGCTCAGCATACAGATTAAATAGGTATGGAGAGAATATAACCCTGATGCACTCCCCTCCCAATTCTAACCAGGAAATGTTTCCCTGCTCTGTTCATACAAAAGCCTCTTGGTCAAGGTGTTGCATGAGCACAATTAAGTGCTCTGGGATTCCCATCCTTCTCAGTGTCAGCCACAACTTGTTATGATCCACACGGTTAAACACCTTTGTATAGTAAATAAAGCACAAAGATATTCTTCTGTTATTCCCTACTTCCAGCCAGGATCCATCTGACATCATCAATGATGTCCCTGGTGCCACGGCCTCTTCTAAATCTTGCTTGAACTTCTGGTAGTTCCCTATCTGTACTGTTCTGTTTTTGAATGATCTTCAGCAGAATTTTGCTTGCATGTGGTATTAATGATACTGTTCAATAGTCTTCATATTCAGTAGGATCACCTTTCTCCATAATGGCTGGAGAAAAGATTGTTGTCATGTATGTACAACAGCTCTGAAGCCTGCTATATCCTCAGCCAGTCTCACTGACTCTGATACAACTACCCCTACTACCCCAATTACTGTGTCAATTAATCTCATCTAGTGTCCTTCTCAAAGGACCAGTCTCTCCTAGCCATGTGCCCAAAGTATGTGAGGTGGAGCTTCAAAATCCTAGCCTCCAAGGAGAGACTCAGTTTTACTTTCTCCAAGACAGACTTAATTGTTTTCTTAAAATTTACTTTCCTTAACTGTTTTCTTGGAATATATGTATGTATATAAGGTACGTTCAAGACTCTTCTTCAGCACCACAATTTAAAGGCATCGATTCTTCTTCCATCATCCTTAGTCACTGTCCAGTTTTCTGATGCACAAGTAACTGAGAAAACCATGGCCTGAATCAGGCACATCTTTGTCTCCAGACTGACATCTTTTTTTCCTCTTTTTTTATTTGAAATTTTAATATAAGTTTACAAAGAACTTGGATTTCCATTCATTCACTGTTGCACCAGACTGACATCTTTACTTCTCAGTACTCTGAAGATGTCCCTGACTGCGGATTTTCTCAGCACAATTCGTATTTTGATTTCCTGACTGCGGGTGCCAAGAGTGAAATAGTATTGTTAAAAATTTCCTGATCCAAGTCAAGAAATCAAAAGATGGGTGCACTAGGAATCTCTTATCTAAAATATGCAAGAGCAAAAATGCCAGTTAAAAATTCAAGTGGAACTGATCCTAGCCATGGTCTTGTCAATTGCTTCCTATACATCTAAAAGATAAGCAATGACTGAGAACGACAGAAGAATCATCTGCCTTTGGAAAAGAGTAATGAACTGTCCAAGGAAGAAACAAGTCTGGAAGAAAGTACACCATGCTCTTCAGGAGGCAAGGATGGATACTTTAGGCATCTTTTTAGATGAGCCATTCGTTGGAAAAAGACATCATGCTAGGAAAGGTGGAGGGTTAGAAAAAGAGAGGAAGCCCCTCCACAGGCTGGACCGACGAGTGACTGTAATGGGCCTGAGATGTCAGAGGTAGGGAGGGTTGTTCTGGACAGGGGGAGGTTCCATATGCTTTTTGTATGCTTGCTGTGTGTCCTACGGGACTCCAAGACACATAACCTATTCAATATACCTGGAACATAGTCTTAGGTTTGTATCTTGCTCACCTTCTGCCTTATTTTTCTAGGCAATCAGTTGGTTTTTAAAAATAATACACAATAATGGTAGTGAGAATACACAACTACATGCTAATAAATTCTCGTAGCTGCCAGGGAGAGCTCTACTGGCTCGACTGAAGGGAGCTGCACTGCCAGCTCTAGACAGGTGACTGGCAGCCATCAAGTGTTGTAAGTAAAAATGGGCAAGCTCCTCCCACATGAGTTAGTCTCTACCCTCAACAAGGTGCCACTGACCAGTTCCTAAGTCATAGCAACACCATGCAGCAAACAGGACCCATGTGTCTGATTGTTCCACATCTGAATGTTCCATGGTCTGATTTTCCAAAGCAGATTGTCGAGGCTTTCTTCCAAGTTTGCCTTAGCCTCGAAGCACTCTTCTGAGACCTATTCAGCATTAGCACAGCCCAGTTCCACCCATGACAGATGGATGGCAGCTGTGGACGCACTGGACAGGAATCCATCCAAGTCCACTCAAAGAAGATGCGAACTCTGCCACTGAATGAGCCACTAGCGCCTTTGACATCATAACCAACATATACAATTAAACGTGGAATTCCAATCAGTCTCTTTCTAACAAAAGTTACAAGACAGTACATTTCTTTAATTTCAAGTAATATGTAATTCAACTTGGGAAAAAATCACTATAGAGATTAAACATAATGCAACAGCAGTATTTTTCCTAACAGCCCTAAATGTCAAGAACCAGGACTAACACATGCAGGCTCTGCCATCATGGAAGCGGGCCTCCTGGCAGAGCTTCCAAAACTGTAATTCTCACAGGAGGAAACTGCCCAACTGTCCCTCAAGGAGGCACTGGTGAATTCCAACAGCCAGAACTGCTCCCTTTGGCTCAGCAAAGCACCTCCCTACAAACTGCACCACCTGGCTTCCGAGCTGACTGGTAAGGAAGTAAAACCGCACTTGAGCTGTCACGCTAACCAAATGAGTGAAGCCATACACAGAAACCTACATACATGTGTTTCCACTTGAACAAATTTTCAGAAAAGGCATAACCATAGGAACAGAAAGCACAGCAAGGCTGCCTGAGGATGAGGACCGGAAAAGAGACAGAGCAAAGCTGCGCAATCGGGCACTGCAGGAGCGTGGGTGGTGAGCTGAGAGGCGAGTGCATGGAAATTATGCCCTCAGAGCTGCCAAAAGTTGTTAAAAATCAGATCAAGTAAATTTTAAGTTAACCCTTTTAAATATACACATAAATTAAACACATGTACCACCTATCATTTTATTAGTCAATCAGTTCTATTTTAAGATTTCCAAATTAACAAAAGCTTTTAAGTACACTGATTTTTAAAATGTGGAATATATTTCAAAGGTCTTTAGATTTCCAGCTCAGAAAAGCTCTTCTCATGGTTTCACAGTTTCAGCTCCAAATCCAGTCCAATTATGGATTAAAAAGCTTAATTCACCCTGACTTCATGTTAGTCACCAATATGACAACTCTAAAATTCAGATTCTAAGCTCCTACATTGAGAACAAAGATGAGATCATTTAAAATCAAATTACTTCTGGATTTAGTAGCAAGGAGATTCTCCTTTCAACTGCTTCTTTCTCAACTTCGTGGCATTATATAATCCAAACCATCTGCCAGTAAAATCTCAGCCTGGCGACAGAGCAGTTCCAGTCTCTGAGAGGTGAAATCTGAGTTCTACTTCAGGAATCCTCATTTTAAGCTGATGTGATATTATGCTTACATAAGTTGCACTCCACTATAGTTAATGTCCAATTCTCAATTTTCCTTTCATGAAAGGGCTTTCAAAACTTTTTTTTTAAAAAGAATACCTATTCCTTCCTCTCATCCCATAATGGTTTAATAGATTGTCCTGAAATATTATTTAAATCTTCAACAATTATATGACCCTATGATTAATCACCCCACCAACACCTCCACCCATCCTTACTCCTCAGCTCTCCTCCCCTGGCTTGGAAACCTACAATAATGGTCTTATACAGTATTTGTCCTTATGGGACTGAGTTAGTTCACTTAGCATAATGCTCTCCAGTCCCTCCCAAGTTAGGTAGTGATTTACAAAATCATTGCTCCTGTGTGCTGCATAGTATTTCATTGAATGAATGCACAATAATTTCTCTATGAACTCTGTAACTATATAAAATAAAAATTTTATTATTCAGCAATAACAATTTCTTTTAATACCAATCTTAAACATTCCCTTCACTGCTGAGGGAAAAAAAAATCTAAATTCTTAAATTTTCTCAACTAACTGTATTTGCTTCCTAAGTAGGTGGCTATTAATCTAGACTCATAGTTTCTTGATTTAGCATTCTGTTCCAGCAACTACTATAACTTGGTTCTAACATAAGTAGAATATTCCTTGGTTTTAAAAATCATTATTATTATTATTATGCACACCCGTGTTTATTGCAGCTTTGTTCACAATAGCAAGGAGTTGGAAACACCCAGGTGCCCATCAACAAACGAATAGATAGAGAAGCTGTGGTATATTCACACAATGGAATACTATGCTGCATTGAAAAACAACGAACTCATGCAATATTATTCAAAATGGGTGACCCTGGAGGAAATATCTCAGTCACAAAAGGACAAATGTTGTAGAATGGGACTGATATCAGGGTTGGGGTAAGACAGAGAAAAACTGGATAAATTATGTTTACCGCATTGAAACAGATGAGGGAGAGGATAATTTAAAAGTGATATGTTGTTGTTGTTGTTGTTACGTGCCGTTGAGTCGTTTCCGACTCATAGCGACCCTATGCACAATAGCCCTAAACCCTGCTCTATCCTGCGCCAACTGCACCGCCTCTGACACACCCATCCCGATTACCCCAGTCACCGAATCAATCCATCTCATAGAGGGTATATGATAGGGTATTATAGTTATCACAAGAGTCCAGAATTAAGGGTACATAGTGGAGTGTACCTGTGGTGGTGGGAGTAGTACGGGGGGGATTGTATACCAAAGAAAGAATTTTTCTTTTACTTTTTCAAGGAGAGGAGCAAAGGGGGGGCGGGGGGGGGGGGCTAGGCAAGGAGAAAAAAGTGCAACAATGAATGAATGGAAATCCAATATCTCCGTAAATGTTCAATAAAATTAAAATTAAAAAAATCATTATTATTGTCTCTTATGATCAGTATCTTTACAAATCATAACATTTGGCATCTGGATAGAATAAAAGTGTGTCCTCTCAAGTCAGAACTGAGCCATAACTGATCCTCCAGTGGGTCCTCAGAAGCAGTAAAAGGCCTCTGGAGAGACTGCCCATCTTTCTCCTAAAGAGCAGCTGGTAAATTAAAGCCACTCACCTACAGGTTTGCAGAACATCTTACCACTAAGCTACCAGAGCGCCCTAAAGAATGGTGAGATTAGAAATGTATGTGCTGCTTGTCATATAAATTACTGAAGACATTAAAAAAAAGGTTGTAAGTGCAGCTTCATAGAACGTGACTATATTGTACTCCAAGTACAGGAGCTGCATGTCCTGACAAAAGTTTTATGGTGACATTACGCATACCAGGGAGTTCTGGCAGTGTGGCCCGTTGGGGGCTATACTGCTTGCGCCACACCTCTGTGGTTATTTGAACCCAGCAGCAGCTTTGAGGGATTTAGATAGACAGTCCTTCTTATGTATGATTTATAGCCTTGAAAACCCATTGGATGATCAGCTATAAGTTAGTTCCAACTTGACAGCAACAAGTCGAATTGTGCATTATACATATTTTATGACCTTTTTTTTTTTAAAAAAATCCAAGGATTATATATAAATCATGACCATAATTTTCTGAAAACCTTACACATCTGAAGACACTTACACATCAGCCAAAACGATCCGTGTCCGTGTCACGTTCTCAATGGTGAATTTGGTTTTTCCTCCTTTGCCAGCAATTCGTCCTATTGCCCTTGAGAGGTGGTCTCCCTTTAGAGGCTTAACTAGAAGAGAACAACAGCATCTCTGTAGAAAAGCCATGTGAAGAGTACTACCCACTCCTTATAAAGTGAGACCATCCACCAAAAGACACAAAACAAGACATTCTTTAAAAAGGATCTAAAAACTCCAACCCATTTGACGGTACTGGGAAAAACCGAGTCCTAATTCAGTAAGACAAAGGGGCAGAGCTTCACAGGAAAAGGTCACCAGCCACACACTCACCATCTGTAATTTCAAAAGACTCGAGGAAGAGGTCGTCCAGCCTGATGAGCGCAAGTGCATCCTACAACACAAAGAGCAGATGCTGGGAAGGCCCTGCCACCCTGGTACCTGGGAGTAAAGCTAGCAATAAACGAACACCTGCAAACTGTGGGGCTGGGAAACTCAAAACCGAAAACCGCTCAGATCTGGTAAACCTTCAGAAGGAATCTTTTTCAAGCCCCAGGTTTTAGATGGCATGCAATCTCTTACCTCCACCTGAAATCCTAGAATAAAGGCTTTCACAAAGTCAGCTGCTTTTGTCAGAGCACTAATATCCTTGGTTTCTTTACAAGTCTGTTTAAAGAAAAACAAATAAAAGAACCCATAATTTACATGTGAAAATGAAAAGAATTATATATTCTAATAAAATCTAAGGAACACTCTTTTTCTATTATTCTAATTTCCTTCTTCATAATCTCTTCTCAATGTTCTGTGGGAAAAACACTGTCTTTAATTGGCAAAAACAAAAAAAACACCTTTTCCAGTTTTAGAAGCAGCTAACATGTGAAGAGGTGACACCAGGTGCCTAAGCGCTGCTATCTCTTTAGTGGACAGAGCCTCCAAAAGCATCACAACATTGCTCACTTCTCCCAAGCCCGAGCTGGCTTGCGTCTCCTTGTACCTAGTCTTAAGAACAGGTTTGAGGTGCTGTTTACTAATGAACAATGACCAAAGGAGCTATGGGATGACATCAAGATTATCATCCATGAAGAGAACAAAAGGTAACTACAAAGACAAGGGAGAAAGAAGAGACAAAAATGGATGTGAGAAGGGATGCCAAAAATAGAACCAGAGCATTGAAAAGCCTAAACAAAAGGAAAAGATACAAGAAGTAAAAGAGCTGAACAGAAGATTTCATAGGGCAGCTCAAGAAGAGATTATAATAATATGCAAAGAGCTGGAGATGGAGAGAAAAAGGCAGACAGAATATAAACAAGAGCCAGTAGTAACAAAGAAAGAAGTTACACTGAAGGCACTGGCAAAAAATAAGGCCTCAAGAATTGATGGGATGCCAACTGATGGTTTTCAACTAACAAATAAAGCCCTGGGCATACTCACTGGTCTGAGCTAGGAACGTTGGAAGACAAGTTACCTGGCCAATTGACAAGAAAAGATCCATATTTATTCACACTCAGAAATAAGGTGGCCCAAAAGAATGTGGAAATTATCAAACAACATTATTAATATAACACACAAGCAAAATATTGAAGATTATCCAAAAACAGAAGAGTGCATCAACAGACAACTGCCAATTCAAGTTGTGTTTAGAAAAGGCTGTGGCACCAGGGTTATCACTGATGACGTCAGATGGATCTTCACTGAAGCTAAGAGTACAAGGATTTGTCAAACAACAAAAAAGCTGGTGAGGTTGCAGAGAAACTGGAACCCTTATTCACTGTTGGTGGGAGTGTAAAATGGTGCAACCACTATTAAAGGTCATATGGATGGTGCTTTCTCAAAAAGTTGGAAACAGAAATACCATTTGACCCAGCAATTCCACTATTGGGAATTTACCCTAAAGAAACCGTAAATGCCACCCAAGCAGATATGTGTACACCCATGTTTCTTCCGGCCTTGTTCACAATAGCAAGGAGCTGGAAACAACTCAAGTGCCCATTAACAAACGAATGGATAGAGAAACTGTGGTATAGTCACACAATGGAATACTATGCTGCAATGAAAAACAAGGAACTCATGAAATACTATGCAAAATGGATGACCCTGGACGATATTATGCTGAGTGAAATATCTCAGTCACAAAAAGACAAATATGGAATAATGCCATTGTTATAAAACAGGACTGACAGAGGAGCTGGGGAGAAACCCAGAAAATATGGGATAAATAATCTACATGGCACTGAAACAGATGAGGGAGAAAACTGCATAAAAAGAATATAGGTTAAATATTTCTGGCATGACAAGAGTCCATAATATGAATAAGAGCTGCACAGTAAAGTGGTCTGAGGTGAGGGTCTGTATAACAATGAAAGAACTTTTTTCCAAAAGAAAAAAGCAATCTGGAAGGGGGAGAAGTGGGGCAGGGAAGAAAATGTGCAACAATGAATGACTGGAATCCCAAGTTCTTTATAAACTGTCATTAAAATCTCAATTTAAAAAAATTTAAAGGGGAGCTCTGGTGGCCTAGTGGCAAGGAGCTGCAACTAGAATCCCAGAGGCACGGTTCGAATCCACCAGATGCTCTGCCGGGGAAGGAGGGACAATCTCCTCTTGTACCAGTCAGATCTGATTTGACGGTACACTCACACAAAAATAATAAAAAAAATTAAAAAAAATTTAAAAACGAAGGATGTCTATTTGCACTTTATCAACTACACAAAGATATTTGTTTGTATCATAACAAATTATATCTAAAGAATGGTAATCCCAAAATATTTACTTGTGCTTAAACAAGACCTATATGAGACCAAGAAGCTACTGTGTGACTAGAGTCAGGCAATACTCATGGTTGAAAATCAAGAAAGGGGTGTGTTAGGGCTATATCCTTTCTGTGTACCTATTAAATCTGTATGCTGAGCAAATGACTCAAGAAGCTGGATTTTACAAAAAAACATAGCAATAGGATTAGAAGACTCATAAACAAATTGCAATATACAGATGACCCTCAGCATCACACTATGAAAAACATTTAACAGAGAGAAACTGAATCCTTCCACTAGATGACAGGACAGAACTGCCAGCTTTCACTACTTTTCAACACTGTAATGACTGCAAGTTCTAGCCAGTCCACTTGGGCCAGAAGAAGAAATAAAAGGTATCCAAATTGGAAAGGAAGAAGCAAAATCATTTTGCCTTACAAAAAACATGACTCTAAACATAGAAAGTTCCAAAGGATCCATAAGAAATCACTAGTGCTATTAATTTCATTCAGCTCTATCAGAGGCTGCCAGAGCAACAGAAAGAAATCAGTTGTGCTTCTCCACCAGCAATGAACAACCTTAAAAGGAAATTAGAAAAACAATCCCATTTACAATAGCACCTAAAAGAATAAAATACCTAAGGAAAAAATTTAACCAGGGAAGTTAAAGACTTAGACAACAGAAAGTATAAAACACTGCAAGAAGAAATAATATCTAACTAAAAAGTATCTGTGCTCATGGACTGAGTAACTCAGTACTGTCAGGATGATGTCATACTCTCCAGCATGATTTACAAAACAGCCTTCTTTTTTTGCCCAGAAAGAGAAAAGGCAACCTTCAAATTTATATGGAATCACAAAACCAAAACCAACCCACTTCACTGCTTGTAGAGTTCTGTCTGATTACAGTACCCCTACAGAACAGACAGAAGACCTTAGAGTTTTTGAGCCTGTAACCTTTACAAAAATAGGCCGCCACACCTTCAGCCCATGCTTCAACCCACTGATCTTGTGGGAAGCTGACAAGTAAGTGCCTTAACCACCACTGCACCAGAGCTCCTAATGGAAGTGCAAGGAGTTCCAAAACATGCAAACAATCTTAAAAATGAAGAACAAAGAAAAGGAACTCACATGCACCAATCTACTCTACAGCTGTAACAACACCGTGACGACAGACTGAGAATGGGCATGTCGACCAATGGGGCAGAACCGTGAGCCCAAATCTAGGGTTTCTCTTTAACGTGTGATGCTGGGGTAACAGGATCTCCACGCTCAAACAAAGGGAGACTGAACCCAAATTTCATGCCCACTACAAAAATCAATGACTTAAATAAAAGAAATATAAATTACTAACCACTTAGAAAATATAAAGCTAGCTAATGTTTTAGAATCTGTTTTTGGATGATGTCTTAGAAATGACATCAAAAAAGTACTAGCAACAAAAGGAAAAAACTCAGATAAATCAGATTACCATTAAAATGTACAATTTTGTGCAGCAAAAACCTTAAACAATAAAGTAAAGATACTACTTTAAAAAAAAAATACTAGTCACTATAGTGACTGTACTGGTTTAATACAGAATATATTAAAAAAACTTTCTGAAACTGAATAACAAAAATAATAAATGAACAAAAGAACTTGAATAGATTTTTTTAAAAAATTAATAAATGAGTAATAACCTATGAAAAAAATGCCCAGTTATTAGTGACCAGGAGCACAAAAATTAAGAAGGTCATTGTGTATTTCCTCCTTCTTCTGATGCTTCCACCATTGTTCAATCTTTTGCTCATGTTTTTGTTGACAAGTCCATGGTTCTATAGCAGAGTAAACACTTCTCAGTCAAGCCCCAGACTCACAGCTGCTGTTGAAGTCATCCAGTTCAGAGTATCTGCCTTTGCACTGACCCTCCACTTTATCAAGCAAGATGTTTCCCCAGGGACTGGTCCCTCTAGACAGACAACATGTCAAAGTATGTGAGATGAAGCCTTGGGTGCTCCCTTCTAAAGAGCACCCTGGCTGCACTGTTTCCATGACAGAGCTGTTTGCTCTTCTAGTCATCCACTTAATATTTTTCACCAACACTACAATTCAAAGGCTTCAATTTTTCTTTGGTTTTCCTTATTTAGCATCTACCTTCATGCATATGAAATGGCTGAAAATGAAATGGCTTGGTTCATGGAAATCTGAAATCTGTTCAACAACACAAGCCTCCACTCACAGAAATCAAACTCAACCTACAACCAGGAGAGAATTAAACAGATAATGGGACCCTCTAAGAATCAAACCCCTGTGCACATCAAAAAACTTCTCCAACAGGGGAAGGAGGAAACTCAGACTGGGGAAAAAATATTTGGCAATGACCTATCTGATAAGGTACTTTTTAATTATATAGAATGTTCCATCCACCACCTCAACAACAAAAAAAAAACCCCAAAAACAACTCAATCACACAATGGGCAGCACAGGGTATGAACAGACACTTCACCAAAGAAGAAATTCAGATGGCAAACACACATATGAAGAAAGGTTAAAAATCCCTAGTTAGGGATGTAAACCAAAACAACTAGGAGATTATCATCTCATCTCAGTAACAATAGCAAGTCCAACAGAGCCCCAAACAACAAATACTGGCAAGGATGTGGGGAGATTGGAACTCTTACTCACTGCTGGTGGGAATATAAATGGTACAACCACTATGGAAGGCGGTCTAATACTTTCTTTAAAAAGTTGGAAATAAGGGAGCTCTAGGGGCCTAGTAGCAAGAAGCTGCATTGCAATCCCAGAGGTGCACAGTTTGAATCCACCAGAGGCTCTGCTGGAGGTGGGGCAATCTCCTCCTGTGCCTGTCAGATTTGATTTGATGGTACATGCACAAAAAATAATTTAAAAAAAAAGTTGGAAATAGAAATACCATTTGACTCAGCAATTCCAGTACTGGGAATATACCCTAAAGAAATCAATAGCCTCAACGTAAACAGATGTATGATTAAGCATTATTTGTATGACAACAGTCCAGAATAAGGGATGCACTGCAAAATGGACTGGGGGTGGGGGAAGGGATAGGGAGGGAGAAAACGGTGCAAAAATGAATGAAAATCCAACTTTTGTGTAAACTTTTGTTAACATCACAATTAAAAAGTATTAAAAAATACTATCTATACACTACACCATACCATAGTTTATTACCTCTACACAGGTATAACCAGTAACTAAAATTCTGCATTTCCCTTTTATTCATGTACTTCTGCTTAAGAATACAACTTTCTTTGGTCCTTTCTCAATCCATCACATTACATTATAAAAGATATTTACAGGCATAACTAGTACCTTCCTACAGTTTCAGACCTACAATAGGAATTCAGTCAATATTTGTGTTCAATGAGGATCCTGAAAGCATTTAATAAATTAAAACTCAATGTATATTAAAAATGTTGAGAAATCATTGAATACGCCTTGTTAAAAAAACTACTCACGATTTGATGGCCTGTATAAGAAACTCGAATCTAATTGGAAATGGTTGACATACTTCTTACCCTGATTTCAACATTCCTTGATTTCAAGTTAAAGCGTATTTGAAGTCCCAAATGCTCTACAACAGGAGTAAATATCTTCAACCAATTCTCTTTAAGTGGTGTGTATCTGTTAGCTGGGACGGGAATTTTTCTTGTTTCTTCTTTCCCACCCTACAACAGAGAAGAACGCACACTTAGGAAAAGTCAAGGGGTGGGAAGGGCCTTGTAAAAATGACAGCTTAGCTAGAAAATTCTACCTTTAAACCGAACGAACTAAACTTCAAGAAGTCACTTCCCTAGGAGTATCGTCTCTTTTCAGAACAGCACCCGCAATGTCAACACCACCCAGGTAATTTGTCTGACCCCTTTCTGGTCTCTGCTCTGTTCTCGTCCTGGGCCCCCGACAGTACCATCAGCCCGTCCCCCGAAAGAGGCGGGAAGACAGGTCTCTTCGCGGGCCGGTTCTCCTCCGTGTCCATGCGGGCCGCGTCTTCGCTCTCTCCAGCAGGCCGTTTCTTTGGGCGCCGGCCACCCTTGCGGGTAACCTGGGTGAAACCATGCTCTGCCTCAGAGGTCTGCGTCTCCATGTTGCCTTCCATTCCCAGACTCCTCCAGTTCGGCAGGCTCTTCCGCGTCCAGCACGTGCGCAGCCGTACCCCGTGGTCGTGCCCGACGCGCAGAGCAACAGCCAATCAGTCAGGGATCCGCCCCTTCCGGAGAGGCCCGTAGAGGGCCTCAAGCAGAGTGCGGCTGTCTTACACTATGCCTGACTTTAAACCTCTTTCTGACTGGGCTATTCCAAGAGAAAGCATTTTGTAATCACAATATTGTAAATTTCACAAAATCAGTAATCAATAATAATAAATAAATTTCTTTTCCCATTAAGGGAAGTTTCGGTGATTTCAGTGGCGTATCTGGCATTATATTTAGATAACTAAGCTGTCTTTTGGGACTGAGTACGGCAAGCGGGACAGACCAACTGTAGTTAATGTTTGGAGTCTGGTTTCCAGGTTATAGTGTTTGGTCAGGGTCTGGTGGTGGCTATTAAGGAACTGGAATCTGCTGGGCTATGTCTGCTTTCGAGAAACCTCAGATCATCGCCCATATCCAGAAAAGCCTCAGTTACACGGTGTTTGACTGTAAGTGGGTCCCATGCAGTGCCAAATTCGTGACCATGGGCAACTTTGCACGGGGCACCGGTGTCATTCAGTTATATGAGATCCAACGTGGAGAACTAAAGCTGCTTCGGGAGGTGAGTGCCAGATAGAGACTGCCTAACTTCAAAGTCTGGCTTGCATTCTCCCATAATGTAGTTCGAACTGCGAAGCTGAGCGAAAGTGAGGGACCCCTCCTACGAGATTAATTCTTTTTTGCCGCTTTGTTACCCGCGTCCTCCCGCCCACTCTCTCCCGCCTGTCTGAGCGCAGTTCATAGCGAGGTCTTTTGGGAAGTGACGTTGAGAATTCCTGCCTCCAACCCCCAAGTCAGTCCTGTTTTATAACAGTGTCATTATGCAGTATTTGTCCTTCTCCGACAGAGATACTTCATTCAGCATGCTGTCCTCTAGGGTCACCCATTTTGGTTACAATATTTTATGAGTTCTTTTTTTTTTTTATAATTGCATAGTATTCCATTGTGTGAATATACCACAGCTTCTCTATCCTTTTGTTGTTGTTGTTGGACTCTTGGGCTGCTCCCGCTACTCTGCTATTGTGAACAACCCCGCAATAAACATGGATGTGCATATATCTGTTTGGGTGGACGTTCAGAAAAGGGGGGGTAAATAATGAGCACTGCATTGGAACAGAGGAGGGGAAGAATTGTTTAAAAGGAATAGATGATTAGGCATTATTTGCATGACATCAGTCCAGAATAGAGGTGCATAGCAAGATGGACTGGGTTGGGGGGAGGCAGTTGTGCAACAATGAACGACTATTTTAAAGAGAAAAGAGAACTGGGGAGATAGAGAGGAAAATGTGCAGCATTGAATGAATGGAAATCCATGTTTTCTGTAAACTTTCATTAAAACCACAATTAAAAATTATTAAAAACCAAACAAACAGAAGAATATGTGCCTAAGTTCAAGACTCCCCTTCTAAACTGCACCGTTTGTTTTGAGAGTCTAATAAAATACTTTTTCATATCACCAGAACCAAAAGGCATTCAGCCTGGAGGACCTGCAGAGTAATTGGAGGAGACAACCCAATTCATGCTTTTAATAAGTATCAGTTGAGGGGCCCAGTAGTCCCAGTTCAAACGTGTGGCAAGATCTTTCCCATTCCCTTTACCCATCCTCCCTCCACCCATCAAATTGTGCAATCCTATAATTACTCCCCACCTCCCACCCATCCTCACCCTTCTGCACCCCATTTCTCCCCCTTGGATCCTCATACATGTTTTACTAGTTAGCTTTCTATTTCTACTTATACAGTATTTGGCCTTATGGGACTGAGGTTAGTTAAATTAGCATAATGTCCTCCAGTCCTTCCCAGTTTAGATAGTGATTTTCAAAATCATTGTTTTTGCATGGTGTGTCGTATTCCATCATGTGATTTCTCAATCCATTCAATTGTGGTTGGACATTTGGGCTGTTTTTTCTTGTTCTTGTGATGGTAAAAGTGCTATGAACATTGGTATACAAATAAATATGCTTATTCTTAAAGTGAAATACTATTTTTTTTTTCGAGCTTTTGGGTAAGTGAAGCAAATTTTGAGTTTTCTAATTTGCTTTTGAACAGAAAGAATGCATCTTCATTATAGAGCATTTAGGAAATACATATAAGAAAAAGAATAATATCACCCATAATTTAAGTGCAGGAATGTTATGTGCCGTTGAGTCGCTTGCTACTCAAAGCGACCCTATGTCCAACACCCCTAAACCCTGCTCTGTCCTGTGGCAAACGCACTTGTCTCCGACACACCCACCCTGATTACCCCAGTCACTGAATCAATCCACCTCATAGAGGGTCTTTCCTTCTGCCCCGTCCCTCCACCCTCCCAAGCATGATATCCCTCTCCACGGACTGTTTCCTCCTTACAACATGTCCAAAGTATGTCAGACGAAGCCCCAGAATCTTTGCCTCCAAGGAGCAGTCTGGTTTAACCCTCTTAAGGATGAATCTGTTTGTTTTCTTAGCAGTCCATGATACATTCATTACTCTTCTCCAGCACCACAGTTCAAAAGCATCAATTCTCATTCTATCTTCCCTAGTCAGTGCAGGAATACCCATGCTTTATATTTTTGCCTGTATCCTGTGGAGCTGTCTTGCCCACCTCCGCAACCATCCACTCCAAACTGTACTCTGAGAAACTTAATATTTTATGATACTCTGATGACTGTGGTAAGAAGCTATGCTGCAAAGACAGCTGTTCTCTGGGAGAAGGATGAACAGTCTCCCCACCGTCCACCGTGATTGCTGCTTCTGAAAACCCACTGGAGGGTCAGCTTTAAGTTGGTTCCAACTTGATTGCACACAATAACAACAGCAGCCTGCTAAAGAAGGGCCCAGAGTATTTGAGAAATTAGTACATTCCTCAGAGCCTACTCTGAAGAAAAACCAGCACAGTAAAACACATTTTAAGAACTAAAATTGTGTTTAAAAGTGGTACTGCGCTAAAGGCAAGTTTAGACTAAATAGAAGCTTTATGATCCTCAGTCCTTACTGTGTATCAGTATTAATGCATTTTGTTACCCCTATTCTCTAATTTTTTAAACAAAAATATTCTTTCTTTGTCCTCACCTTAGAAAGTCTGATGTTAAAAACATCTATGAAATATTGTCTCATCCCAGCAATATAAGCAATGTCCAACAGAGTAGCAAACAGCAAATGCTGGTGAGGTTGTGGAGAGATTGGATTCCTCACTACTGGTGGGAATGTAAAATTGTTCAACTATGGAAGGCGGTTTGGCACTTTCTTAAAAAGTTGGAAATAGAAATACCATTTGACCCAGCAATTCCACTACTGGGAGTATACCCTAAAGAAACCAGAGCCATGATTCAGACAGATGTATGCACGCACATATTTGTTGCTGCATTATTCATAATAGCATTGAGATGAAAATAACTCACATGCCCATCAGCAAACAAATGGATGGAAACACTATGGTATATTCACACAATGGAACACTGTGCAGCACTGAAAAATAATGAACATTACAAGATGGGGGAGCTTGGAGGACATTATGCTGAGTGAAATGTCTCTGTCTCAGAAGGACAAATACTGCATAACACCACTGTTACGAAGCAGGACTTAAATGGGCTGGGAGGAGAATATGAAAAGAATGGAGAGAGAATGAACACTGTATTGGAATGGATGAGGGAGAGAACATTATAAAAGGAATATACTGTCGTGGGGAAATGACAGCCTTTTTAACAAATGGTGTTGGCAAAATTGGAAAAGTACCTGCAAAAGACTCAAGCAAGATCCGCACCTCACTCCATATACAAAAACCAGCTCAAGGTGGATCATGGACCTACGACTAAAACCAAGGACTATAAGATTCATTAAAGAAAAACTTGGAAGAATGCTATAAGTCCTAATCCACAACATAAGCAGTCTTCCAAGTATCCTGAAAAACCTACAACCAGAAGAAGATAAAATAGATGAATGGGATCGTCTAAGAATCAAATCCCTGTGCACATCTTGATTGCACACAATAACAACAGCAGCCTGCTAAAGAAGGGCCCAGAGTATTTGAGAAATTAGTCCATTCCTCAGAGCCTACTCTGAAAAAACAAAAAACAAACAAACCACAGTAAAACACATTTAAGAAATAAAATTGTGTTTAAAAGTGGTACTGCGCTAAAGGCAAGTTTACACTAAATAGAAGTTGTATGATTCTCAGTCCTTACTGTGTATCAGTATTAATGCATTTTCTCCAATAGGGTAAAAAGCCACAGACTAGGAAAAAATATTTGGTCATGACATATCAAATAAGGGACTTATATCCAGAATTTATAAAGTACTTGAGCACCACAACAAGATAAACGTAAATAATCCAGTAGAAAAATGGGCACAGGATATGAACAGACACTTCACCAAAGAAGACATTCAGGTGGCTAACAAGCACATGAAGAAATGTTCAAAATCCCTAGTCATAAGAGAGATGCATGGCCTAGTGGCAAGAAGCAGCAACTGCAAGTTCAGAGGTGCACAGTTCAAATCCACCAGATGCTTTGCTCGAGAAGGAGGAACAATGTCCTCCTGTACCAGTCAGATCTGATTTGACGGTACACACAAAAAATAATGAAATTTTAAAAAAAAGATGCAAATTAAAACATCTATGAGGTATCATCTCACCCCAGTCAGAATAGCAAAATTTAACAGACATCAAGAAACAAATGCTGGCGAGGTTGTGGAGAAACTGGAACCCTTATTCACTGGAGTGTAAAATGGTGCAACCCCTGTGGAAGGCCATATGGCACTTTCTCAAAAAGTTGCAAATAGAGATACCATTTGACCCAACAATTCCACTACTGGGAATTTACCCCAAAGAGACCATAACTGACATCCAAGCAGATATATGCACACCCATGTTTATCACAGCTTTGTTTACAGTAGCAAGGAGTTGGAAACAACCTAAGTGACCATCAACAAACGAATGGATAGAGAAGCTGTGGTATATTCACACAATGGAATACTACGCTGCATTGAAAAACAAGGAACTTGTGCAGTATTATTCAAAATGTGTGACCCTGGAGGACATTATGCTGAGTGAAGTATCTCAGTCACAAAAGGACAAATACTGCATGGTGCCACTGTTGTAAAACAGGACTGACATCAGTTTTGGGGGGAGACAGAAAAATGGAATAAATTATCTGTACTGCCTTGAAACAGATGAGGGAGAAAACTATTTAAAAGGGATGTGTGATTAGGTATTTTTGACAGGAGCCCAGAACAACAGCTGCATCATGGAGTGGACCTGGGGGGAGGGATTGTAAAACAATGAAAGAATTTTTCTTTTACTTTTCCAAGAGGGTAGTGTACTAGGGGGGAGTGTTGGGAGGGGAGAAAAGTGCAACAATGAATAAATGGAAGTCCAAAGTCTCTGTAAATTTTCATTGAAATTAAGAATAAATTTAATTTTAGAAAGGAATATACTGTCCAGAGTAAGAGGTGCATTGCAAAGAGGACTGGGCTGGGGAGGGGAGAGGGGATGTGTAACAATGAATGAATAAAAATTTTACTTTTCTGTAAACTTTCATTTAAATCACAATTAAAATGAAAAATAAAGGCATTGAGTCACACCTCC